TAGTAGTTTCCTTATAAGAAAACATTTGAGATTCATTGACCAAGCAGCCAGTGCTACTTTCAGTTGAAATTTATAAAATATTTCTATTCAAACAATTTTTCAGGCATTGCCTGGGGATGTAACAGTAAGAGATAGATCAAGTATCGACCATCATAAAGACTGAAAAATAAAATTGACAAAGATTATTGTTTAAGGTTGACGGACACGCATGTTTAATTAGTTTTTTTTTGTTGTTTTTTTTATGAATTGGTCAAATCCAAACTCAAACAAAAACATTGTTTTCAATTGTTATGAGTCTACTGATTGAATAGAATTTTATTATAAACAATTGTCTTGTAAATGGAATTTTTAAAGCATTCTGAATGTAAAAATAAAGAAAAAAGTGTGCAAGACAATAAGAAACACTACCTGCCAAAAAAAAAAAGTGAAGTTTTGTTAATCGGTTGAAAAATGTAGGAAATCCGATCCCATATATAAATGAACACACACACACACAAACAACCTGGGTTTTATAATATGTAAAACTCGATATGAGTTGTCCCCCTTTCATTCTCGCGATGCTTCTTAATCGTGTTTTCAAATTGATTTCGTGCAAAAACAATTGTGTTTTTCCAATTTTTGGCGCTGTCAGAACCACCGCAAGGTAATTTTATGTAGTCCTGTGAAATTTTGTTGAAATCAGTTGAAAAATGTAGGAAATCCGATCCAATATAGAAACGTACACACACACATAACCTGGGTTTTATAATAAGTATGATGTCATAGATTATGTCAATTTCTCTTTGAGTTACATTAGCTTTCCACTTGAGTTGTTGTTACTATTGAAAGTTCTCAAGTGATGTGGTTTCGGTTATTTGGTACAGTTCTTTATTTGTGATTCTGTAGCACCAGTCTAAAAGGTCAGGAAGACCTGCGAGTTTCATTCACTTGAAACCATTGTTAATCCTTGATCTGAGAAAGCAGTCATATACAGCTGACCAATTAGATATTTCTGAACAGCTTTGGTGCCATGCATGACATCCATATGAAAGTTTCAATCTGATGAGGTCATTTAAGGACATAACTCAAATTTTTAGTTCAACGTTTTATAGAAATTTGCAGTGTCGGACAAAACTACCTCTAATACTGCTTATTCTCTGTTCAATTTCCTTATCTTCCATATTAGGGTCCTTACTAAACATGTATGATTTTGTGGACCAATATAGTTCCTCTATGAAATCATGGCATTCAGTGGATTCAGAGCTTGGAAGGCAGTTTCTAGTGGATGAAAGGAGGAGGTCTCTATTGATGTAGCCATAAGCTAGTTAACATAGCAAGCATACAATTTTCTATTGGGGAGGTATGCAATCTTCTGGAGTTGCTTCATGATATCATTACAGCCCTTACTAGAATGAAAACCAAACTGGGTTGTGAGAAGTAGACTTTCATAAAACAATGGGAGCCTAGTTCATACAATGTTCATTAGTATTTTCACCATAATGAACCTAATAGAGATACCTCTGTATGTATGAGGGTCTTGAGGACTATCTTTTTGTTTCTGTACTGCATCAATGTATGATTCATCCCACATTTTTTGACAATGCATTTCTGATTCCAGACTTCTTTCTTGAAACTGAAAAACTTATTATTGAATTTGGGGAGAAGGTATACTACGTTCAAAATTTCAGCCTCAATATCAAATGATGCCTTAGCTTTTTTTATAGCTTTCTTAACTTCTTCATCATTAGGTTTATTATTGTTTATGTTTGGAGACAGACTTTTGTAATGATTGGATGTATATTGGTATGCATATTGTGTTTCTGCAGGTATCTTTAATTTATTGTGCTCAGGGTTGAAATGTGACCTAAAGTGTGTTTTGAAACCAGGACATTTCTTCTATGTTGGTTTTGATTATAGGACCAATTTTAAATGTGAATTATGTGAATTAAGTTTAAACATCTAATGATTTTTTTTCTTTTTCTTTCAGATTTAACAACTTAAGTCTTTGGCAATTTCAACCATGGAAAGATTAACAACCAAACAATGTGTTAAAGTTATCAAAGCCTATTACGAAAATGAACATTCAAACAGAATTTGAATGAGAAGTTTTCAGGTTGCATCATCTCTCAAAACAGCAAAGTCAATTAGCCACCACAATCATGCGACTTGACAGCTTTAGATTTCTTCTTTTGGGTTCATCTCAAAAGTAAGGTCTATGCTAACAAGCCAACAACAATTCAACAGTTGAAGGATGAGATAATAAGGCATATTGGTGAGATCGAGGAGCAACTATACAGAGATGTCATCAAAAATTTTAACTATCACATGGAGGTGTACCGCCGAAGCTTTGGCAGACATTTAAACAATATTATTTTTCACACATAATTGTCATGACTTAAATGACATGATCCAATAGAGAAATAAATAAATTTTCACCAATAACACTGATTTATTTACTGATGACTTTGATCCTTCTTAATGAAACACCCTTTATGATGTTATTGTGATTTTTCACTTTTCTCCACATTTCTACATATTGCCTATGCTGTTTGGCTTCATCAATTTGGTTATCATTTTTCCAGCTATTGCTTTCTCAGAGAATTAGCTAGCTTTTTTTATTTGTTAATTTTTTAATATTCTCCTTTCCATTTTTCTTCTTTTGTTTGGTTATTTCTTGTATCAATTTTTCAACTCAGGATTGTTGGCCCACAGGATTATTTTCCTTCTAGATATTCTTGGACTGGCCTTACATGCTTCAGATAATGAAGATATGATTACATTATTTGATTCTTCTATGCTGTTTTGGTCAAGATTTTTTTTTTTTTACACATCAATTTTGATTCTGGTTTATCACAGAATTCTAATCTTACACTTTCATTTTTAAGAATTTGGATGTTATACCTAGATGTATTTTATGTTTTATGTGATCAATTGTGAGTTATTTTGTTGGCTGGTGTTGTCAGTTTTGTTACAAGTAGTGTGTAATCAAATTCAAAGTAATTCAATGCATTCTTATTGTAAAAGTCATTTATAATGCATTCCATCAGTAAAAGTCAAAATTTCATATAGTTCTATAGTAAAAGTTATTTATAATGTATTTCTATAGTAAAAGTTATTTATAATGTATTCCTATAGTAAAAGTTATTTATAATATATTCCTATAGTAAAAGACACTTATAATGTATTCCTATAGTAAAAGTTATTTATAATATATTCTTATAGTAAAAGGCACTTATAATGTATTCCTATAGTAAAAGACATTTATAATTTATTCCTTAAGTAAAAATTATTTATAATTTATATCTAACATAAAAGTAATTTATAATTTATTCCCAAAGTAAAAATCATTTACAATTTATTCCTAAAGTAAAAATTGTTTATAATTTATAACTAACATAAAAGTAATTTATAATTTATTCCTTAGGTAAAAATCATTTATAAAAGTATTCCTATAGCAAAAGTAATTTCCAGTGTATTCCCCATTGTAAAATTCTTTTCAACGATTTACCAAATAGAAATACAGAACATCCTGTTCAAATTTAAATTCAAAAGATTTCTCATGATACATTTTGTATCTATGTGTGTCCAATGCAGCAATATTATTTTAAGTCAATATAAATACAGAGGAAGTTGCTGATTATGACCACTTTGGGACAGAGTTTTTATAGATAACAGTAATGAATTGATAGCATTAAGGAAAAGAATATAAAACTCAACATCAACAGGAAAACACCCTTGTGGATGAAAGTGTTTGTTTGTGAATTTAGGGAAATAGTAATTGTGAGTTCAATCCCTGTGCTGTGCAGTGTGTACTTGAACTCAGTAGAAATGAGTGAGCAATAAATGATAGTACTAAAAAAAAAAACTCGATGATATGCCTAGACATGGGCAGTGGAATGAGAAGTTTACCCTGTATAGATTAAATAAAGGGTTCAGTTCAGAATTCCCTTTAAGTTACTCAGATCAATATACATGAAGGATGAAGGGCACAACAGCTGAAACACTGTAATAACAACAATCAAGATGAGGACAATAGTCCAAATATAAATAGAGTAAATAATGATAACTCCTTATCTTGGAAATTCAGATAGGAATTATGTATCTACACATACACCATAGCAGAAATAAGCTAAAATTAGAGGAATAGGATTAATCGAATTCAATGCCTAAAACACACACACAAAAAAAAAAAAAAAAAAAAAAAGAACATTTTATTTTTACAGTCAATGGATGTGTGTGGTATAGCAATTATTAGTGCAGAAGGTGGGATTGGCATACCAAGTTCAAATTCTGGCCAAGGCAGTTTTTTTTAATCAATTCAATCCAAGCAAGGTGATAATGCCACTAAGACACATGGCACTACTGAGTGTGAAAGAGAATAAGAGTTTAGAAGGAACCAAAAAATGCATTTGATTTTACAAAAAATACTTTTGGGAAAGGTATGAATCCATCTATTCTCCACCCAGCTATGGATTAAATAGCAGGGAAGACTGAGCTTTGGTTGGCAACCAGTCAAAGAGAAGAATATCACTGAATTTCAAACCAGTTGCATTTGAGGCTAGCAACTCCATCTCATGAAAACCTATTTGCTACAGAAACTGTGGCAGCCACACCCTGTGTGATAAGTCTAAGGTCCTATACTTCATGGGTGAGTCTTCAGATTAACTGAAAAGTAATAAGACATCTAAAAAGATTAAAACAGAAAAAGATCCCTAAAAGCAGAGCATTTCAAAATGTCACAAATCAGTCAAAGAAACGGACAAACAAATCTAAATATCATTGTAACAATACCTCTTCTCAGAGATTCTGGTAGAAAGAAATTGGTGTGGAGTGATACTATGAAAAAGGCAACAAAAGCAAAATAAGTGAATAAATGGTTGAGAAGAATCAATACCAAATACTAAGACCAACTCAAAAATATTCCAATAAAAAGTTGGTGAATTGTTAGAACAACCAATCTAAAAATGTGGTAAAGACAACAAAGATCTATCTATCTATGTATCCCATCTCAGTCAATATCTATGTATATCTATCCCGTCTCAGTCAATATCTATCTATATCTATCCCGTCTCAGTCAATATCTATCTATATCTATCCCGTCTCAGTCAATATCTATGTATCTATCTATATATCTATCTCAGTTAATATCTATCTATCTATTTATCCCATGTTAATATCTATCTATCCATCCCGCCTCAGTCAATATCTATATATATATATATATATATATATATATATATATATCACGTCTCAGGCAATATCTATCTATCTATCTATCTACCGCGTCTCAGTCAATATCTATCTATCTACCGCGTCTCAGTCAATATCTATATATCTATCTATCCCGCCTCAGTCAATATCTATATATCTATCTATCCCGTCTCAGTCAATATCTATCTATCTACCTATCTATCTATCTATTCCGTCTTAGTCAATATCTATCTATCTATTCCGTCTTAGTCAATATCTATCTATCTATTCCGTCTTAGTCAATATCTATCTATCTATTCCGTCTTAGTCAATATCTATCTATCTATCTATCTATTCGTCTTAGTCAATATCTATCTATCTATCTATCTATTCGTCTTAGTCAATATCTATCTATCTATCTATCTATCCCATCTCAGTCAATATCTATCTATCTCAACTCAGTCAATATCTATCTAACTCAGTTAATATCTATCTATCTATCTCAACTCAGTTAATATCTATCTATCTACCCTATCTCAGTCAATATCTATATATCTATCTATCTATCATGTCTCAGGCAATATCTGTCTATCTATCCCGTCTCAGGCAATATCTATCTATCCATCACGTCTCAGGCAATATCTATCTATCTATCCCATCTCAGTCAATATCTAACTATCTATCTATCCCGTCTCAGTCAATATCTATTATCTAAGTCAATTTCTATTTATCTATCTCTGTAAGTTTCTATCTATCTCAATCATTTTCTATGTTAATTTCAATCTATCCCCATCAATTTCTATCTATCTATCTATCTCAGTGAGTTTCTGTCTATATCAATTTCTATTTATCTATTCATCTATCTCAATCAATTTCTATCTGCTACAATTTGAATCTGTATAATTTGTTCCTTCTACCAAATCTTAATTTATATAGATATTTCAAGTTTTTCTTCACTAATGTGACATCCGTATCTTTTGTCTGTAACTTTGAAAAGAATCCTTAACATTCCAAATTTTCTCCAAAGACCTTTCCTTTGTGTTCTTGATGTTGCTACTTTTGTTTTTCAACCAATCTATTCTCTAGGTTTCCTTGGACATTTAATCCAAAAGAAAAGAATATAAATGCAATTTTTTTTAATAATACAGAAACATGGTTAGTAATATACCAATTAGATCAGTCGATTTGAGTAATGTCATATATATAAATGAAACCATGAATAACCACACATTTTCCTTCCTTGATTCTAATCTCCATGCAATACTTTCTTTGCTTGGCAAAGAAAACCATACAGGGTTGGAATCTATACAAGTCTGACCTATGGACTTTGCTGACAAGTCAATATATACTGCATCTCCCAGTCTGCATCTTTGTTGTTCTTTTCCTATTTTAGCCTAAAACATCATTTGCAACGATTTTCTCTAAATTTCCTTGTAACTTTTAAACAGAACACTTCATTTCACGCAAGTGGAGATTATATCATGACCCTCTGTTTTATTTGATCCAGCTATTTCTCTCATAGATTAAAATCACTATTTCTTTGCCAATATTTTATTGAAAGGTCTCTCAGGATTTTTATCTGAAAACAACTTCTGTCTATATTTCTGAGATGAAGTATCGTAGCTATTTATACATGGCCAAGTAGATAAAAGTGTTGGTTAAAGTAATCCAGTGACTTAACCCAAAGAGTTGTGAGTTCAATACCTGGCCACAGCAGAAGTGAACAAAAAACTTGGAAAGTTGAGTTACTAAAGGGAAATAACTGAAAATGAGATGAAATAAGGGGTTCAGTTCAAAATTCAAAAATATATCAGCTGAAAAAGGTCAGATCATACAACAGCTGAAACATCATGAATATCACAATAAAGATGAGGACAACAGTCTGAACAATGAAAATAAGTTGTAATAAATACAATGATGATATGGATTTTTGCTTAAAACCTTCACTGCTGTGGATGCACTAGTTGTAAATTAAATTACCATGCTTTGCTTAATTCTGGCATAACACCATAACTATAAGTCACCTAGTAAGGACCAAACTCACCCCCCAGGATCTAAAAAAATAGTTTGTTAACCATTATGTTACAACAAGGCCCAGATCTATTCATGTATAATTTCATTATAACCCAATCTCTACAGTCTTTTTCATTTCCTTCAGGTATTTTCTAAGCTTTCTTTTAGCACAAGGCACCCAGTGAGGATCAAACTCACTAGTCAATAGTAATTATCTACAACACAAACTTGTTAAGCATTACATGAGGCAAAACATTTTCTATTTAGGTATAATTTCCTAATTACTCAATTTATACAGCTTTTTCACATTTCCTTCAGGTATTTATCCGTACTTTCAGCATAACATGCCTTTGGGTTTGTAACACAGCCTTCTGCTCATGCAGGTCATGTGATCAAAGTTTAAGCTTGGTTGTACCACTTTTCTTGCTGCTGTTACAGTATAAACATGGCCGCTCTGCTAGCAGTGTGCACCAAGGAGGAACAAAGAGCAAATCTGCAGAGAACATATCACCTCATCAATGATAACTCACCACTTTGCTATTACCATCTCTCAAGCTTGCTGAATCTTTTCATCAGTGGTGGAGGTTGACAGGTAGCCTGCTCTTGCTTTGTGCATCACACTTGTCTGGCAACTTTTAAACTTCTCGATCCACCCATACACACTTCTATATGGCAGTGCACTGTCACTGTATTGTGTTAAAAGACTTTAATGAATTTCAGCCCCTGACACACCTTCCAACCAGAGAAATCAGATCACTCCTTTTGTGAGCATGAGTAAATGGATGGTGGACAGGGTTTAGGAGAAATAACAGAAAGACAAAATTTATTAAGAGCTACAAGGGACAGGGTGTTGTGGAGAGCCATGATCCCCTATGCTCTGAGGGGACATGGTGCATAAAGAAGGTATTGTTGATGTAAGGGACAGAGTTCCTAAACCCTATGCTTAAACTGGTTTTGAATTTAGAGTTTTCAATCTACCAGACCAGTATACCCTACTACTTAACACATAGATGGAGAGAAAAAGAAATGGATTTATACTTTTGCCACGAGTATTTGCACAAAAGTGAATGCAACAAATTTCTGTCAGAATTTCTGGGATGAAGTGATATCATTATTTACACAATCCACATGTGGACTATTGTTCTTGTTATTATCACATTTAAGCTATTGTGCACTCTGGCCTTCATCAGGAATATGTCAATTTCAATAACCTACAGGGAATTCTGAAATGAACATCTTATTTAACCTAAGGGAGTAAACAGTTCTTGTTCTGCTTCCCATGTCAAGGGATATCTCATCTAGTTCTTATTTTTAGTACTCTTCAGTTATTGTTTGCCTTGTATTTACTGAGCCCAAGTACATACTGCCCATGGAACAATGGGATGGATTAAAGTGTTAGTTTGTGAATTTGGTTGACATAGAAATTGTGAGTTCAATCCCCAGGCTGAGCAATGTATATTTGGAATATTTAATTTCCTGCCCATTATCAACATGGCTGATTCTAGACTCATAGAGAGCAATACACAGCACCTTCTTGGCCTCACGTTCTCAATTGACTTGAAGTGAAATGACTACATTGAATCAATATCTGCATCTATTGCAAGAAAAGTTGGGCCACTGTGTTGAGCCAGGTTTTTCTTGTCAGAGTTCATCTTACACATTTACAAATTTACCATTCATCTGTGCATTGAATACTGTTGTTATATCTGGTCTGGTGCTCCTGCTATTCATCTTGAAGTTCTTGACAAAATCCAAAGAAGAATCTGCAAAGTAATCAATCTTGACCTGGCATCTCAACTTCAGTCCCTTTCTCACTGATCTGATGAGGCTTACCTCTATCTTTTCTACAAATATTTTCATGGCAACTGCTATGATGAGCTTCCCCTCTCCTCTGGTGCCACGAATATGTGAATTTAAGCATGCTACTAGATTGGTATTTACTGCTGAAATAGTTATATGCTACTACCACTTCTATTCTTCTCGCACTTTCTGCCTGTGGAACTCACTTCTCTTTACTTGCTTTCTCAAAAACTACAATATTCAAAAATTTAAATGCAATGACAATTGTCATCTTCTGTCTTTTTGAATCTTGTTCATCTTTTATTCTTTCCTCAATCCCAGCTATACCCAGTTTTTTCTCTCATTTTCATTCTCTGTAACCTCCTGCATGCTGGTGTGACATTTTGGCCTTGCTTGAGGGGAAATGACTAAAAAAAAAAATGTATTTGTTTTCAGTGTTGTAGATATGGCTGAAAATATAAATGTGTTTGTTTGCAGTGTTGTAGATATGGCTGAAAATGTAAATGTATTTGTTTTCAGTGTTGTAGATATGGCTGAAAATATAAATGTATTTGTTTGCAGTGTTGTAGATATGGCTGAAAATATAAATGTGTTTGTTTGCAGTGTTGTAGATATGGCTGAAAATGTAAATGTATTTGTTTTCAGTGTTGTAGATATGGCTGAAAATATAAATGTATTTGTTTGCAGTGTTGTAGATATGGCTGAAAATGTAAATGTGTTTGCTTGTGGTATTGTAGATATGGCTGAAAATATACAGAGAGCATAGTTACTGGTGCAGAAAGTGACAATGGCAGGTCAACTACCATTCTTGCCTACTTTTTTTTTTTACTTTTTAATTATTCCCCACTTCCCCAGGTAAAATAATAAAGCCATTAAGATGCAAGGGGTTACTGAGCGTGAAAGAATATACAAAGATGAAAGACATTATTAAGGAGACAGAATAATAAAAGAACAGGAATTAAGAAGACAGAAGATAATGATTGATATTGCATTTAAATTTTTGATGATCAAAGTTGACTGAAAAGCAAGAGGCCTGGAGAGGCACAAGTGTGAAATGCATGCTATTGCATTCACTTTCGCACAAATATCCTTGAGTAATGCATAAATTCATCTCTTCTTCCCTCAGCTATAAATTCATATCTAGGAACCTATATGTTATAGTGGAACACACCTATTCTATAGTTAATAGACTCTCCCACCAAGTAGGAGTAGTAAGAGTAACAAGCCAGTCGCTCAGGGAGTTGGTCAGTCAGTCGATGTCGGACTACCGTTAGTTGGATATTAAAGTATCAGCCACCACAACTAGATTACTGCATCATTACCTATTATATCAAGTTCCTAACGTTTTGTACGTCGAACCTATTTTAGGACCGACTCAAGTGTGTGTATGTGTGTGTGTGTGGGGGGGGTTACTCTAGTCTCATTTTCAAAACATGGAAACGCAATCACACCAGGTTGTTGGACTGTAGGGTGCTTATACAACAAAGTTAACAGAGATAATTTCAAAATTTAAATTTTTATTTCACTCTTTGAATGGATGCTCAACCACATCATCCCCACCCCCTGATATGGATACCCAGGGTCTGTTGCACCCCCTGCACTCTATGCATGCTACTGGGTTGGGCATAAGAGTAGAATTTTACAAAGCAATTGTATTTGCTATCAAGGTGGAGTTGGTGAGGTATAATGAAAATTTGTGGAGGTGTATTTTAAATAAACCTACAGAAGGGAAAAAAATCAATGCTGAAATACATTAGTAATCAATATTGAGGAGATTTAATTTGGTGTTAGGGTAGCAACCCAAGGTATGGGAACATGGAGCTAATAGTCAAAATCTCGAGGTTGTAAATCAACTGAGTGGGTATAGTTATCCCAGATGGTCATTTCAGTCATACTGGGAAG